AGCCTGAGGCCCGTCCCAGATGCAGCTGTCCCAGAATCGTAAGCCAAATAAACCTCTCTTCTTTATAAATTACCCAGTTTTTCAGGTTGTTCTGTTATAGCAACACAAAACGGACTAATACATGCTCCTAAAAAAAACATTCAAGAACACAAGGTCCTTACCTCCCAACACACTTCTGAGGCCGGGCAGAGGTGAGAATAAGCTTCAGCGATGACAGTGGCCCTGGAAAGCGGAGGAATGCCCTCAGGAGGGGACCCTCTTCCTACCACCCCTCCCGCACCCCCCATCTCACCCCAACTCACTTGCAGTCTAGCCCTCCCCCAGGAGGTAAATGCGGGATGTCCTCTGAGGCCAGAGTCCTGAAAACTGTATTTAGGCTGGGGGGCTCCTGAGCGGAGGCACACAGTTCTGAAAAGGAGGCAAAAGTTATGGGAGATCCCCGGCTTGGCGATCAGCCCTCCCGCTGGCCTTGGGGTGCCTTCTCACCAGCGACTTTGCGGCCCAGGGCTGCGTCCAGCGCTAGCTCCCTCCTAATCGCCTCCTCACAAGGCCTGGGGGCCCCTGCGAAGCAGACCAGGATGCAGGTCATGTTGTCCAGGCTGCCCTGGAGAAGGTGGAGAAAAGGGAGCCCGGTTGGAGGGAGTTGAAGGCAGAGCTCAATAATCCCAGTATTGATCCCCCTCCTCAATCTGGTTATGTCCATTTCTTTTTTTTTTTTTTTTTTTTCCCTTTTTTTGTCTTTTTTACTGACCGGCAACGGGATCGCAACCCTCAGTATTGCACCGGCACCGGGCTCAGCCAGTGAGCGGGAACCGGTCTCCACATGGGATCCGAACCCTCGGCGGGAGTGCCGCCGCGCTCCCAAGCGGCGCACTCTCCAGTGCGCCACCGGGCCGGCCCTGGTTATGTCCATTTCTCTCAAGTCTGCCCATTTGCCAGTCCTCTCCCATTTGGACCAATCCCTAGACCACGCCCCTTCCCAGTTCTAAACCCACCCTATTAAAGAGAACTACGCCCATTCTCTGAAGTCCCGCCCACTCTGCTGCCTAGCTGCTCTTTCATCTTCTAGCACTAAGCACACGTTAGGCCCTGCCCCTGCGTCCTAGAACCGCCCCATTCCAAAAGAACACGCCCTTTCTCTTAAATCCTTCCCACTTACCTATCGAAAGCTGCTACTCTCCCATTGTGCCTAAAACTTTCCTCAGGCTCCGCCTTCTCGGTATTTTGACCCTGCCCATTCCAGCAAATGCCCTTTGGTTGAGCCCCACCCCCTTCTTCTCTAGCTGTATTCTTTTTTTTTTTTTCCTTTTTGTCTTTTTTCGTGACCGGCAACGGATCGCAACCCTCAGTGTCGCGCCCGAACCGGACCAGGACGGCAACGGGATCGCAACCCTCGGTGTCGCGTCCGCACCTCGCTCAGCCAGTGAGCGGGAACCGGTCTGTATGTGGGATCCGAACCCTCGGCGGGAGCGCCGCCGGGCTCACAAGCGGCCCACTGTAGCAGTGCGCCACCGGGCAGGCCCTCTAGCTGTATTCTTGCCTCTCCATCAAAACACTTCCTCCCCCAAACCCTGAGGTTCTTCTCCTTTACTGCACCAAGCCTCAAGGATTCCACGCTCCGCCCCCACGACCTTGCACAGACACGTGTCCAACAGCTGCGCGCAGAGAAGCTCTGGGGCCAGGCCCAAGCGGAGGCGCGATGCCACCAGGCCTACTAGGGCAGCACCAGACATCGCGTCCCACACTCCATCAGAGGCCAGGAGCATGAACTCGTCCTCAGCCCGGCGTGCCAGTGCGGCCACCTCAGGCTCCGCGGAAACGAGCTGCAGCTCGGGGGGCCTCCCCGGAGCCTTCTTGTAGGCAAAGTCACCCAGTGCTCGGGACACAGCCAGGGAGCCCTCGACGCGCCGGCGGCAGATGGTGCCGCCAGCGTCTTGGATGCGCTCGCGTTCCCGGGGCCGGAGGGGCCGGTGGTCCTCGGTGCTGAAGGCCACGGCGCCGGCGCGGCTCAGCACCGCGCGGGAGTCCCCGCAGTGCGCCAGGTACAGAAAGTGCGGAGAAACCAGCAACGCCACAGCCGTGGAGCCGCCGGGTTCGCCGCGGGGCCAGAGTGCGCGCAGGCGCTCGTCGGCGCTCAAGAAGGCTCGGCGCAGCGCCCCGCGCACACCCTCTGGCTCGCAAGGATCGGGACCCAGCGCCTCGAGCACGTGGCCTGGCAGGTGGCGCGCGCCGAAGCGTGCCGCTCTCGCCCCGCCGTGGCCGTCGAGGACGGCGAAGAAAGCCCAGCCCGCGGGCAGCCCAGGTAATTCTAGCCAAGCGCAGTGCGCGTCCTCCATGTGCGCTCGCCAGCCCTGCGCTGCGCTCGCCCCGAAGCGCAGGCCCCGCGACGCCGCCACACCCCCGTGCGGCCGCTGGACGCATCGCGGCGTTGCGAGGAGAGATTGAGGCCCGTCGAAGGCCCTGCGTCCTGCCTCCTCTTCCTCCTCCTCCGCCTCCTCTTCCTTGCGAGCGGGCCAGAGCAGACGCTCCAGCAGGCGAGCGAGGGCCGCCATCCTTCGGCCCTGGGGAAAGGCTCCACCCTCTGAGCCTACCCCTCCCCCCGCTCCGCCTTCCGTCCATTAATCCCCTCTGCGGTGAGATTTTAAATCACCTAAATCTCCTCCCTATCCCTTGACCTGCACTCAAATCGGGTCACTAGAAGGAATTGCACTCCGGGCCCTCTTCTCTCCCGCACCTTCAAAGCGGAGTTTGGGATCCGGGTCAGGAAAAATGGAAATAGTAACAAACTATTACATAGCGTTTGCCATGGGTCGCACACTATTGTACATCATCATCGCCAACTGACAGAAGAGGAAACTGAGTCATAGAGGAACGGAAACTGAGTCACAAGCAGTCGTTGTTACAGAGAAATTAACTCGAGAGACTGCATTCACAGCACAACGCCCTTGGATTCTGCTCCGTCCAAGCTCCGCGCACGTCAGTAGTCAGCCCCCAGCCTCAGAGCCTTTCACTACTTTACTCACCACTCTGGTCCCCGCCCCCGGATTCAGTTGCCTTCTCTCCCAGGTCACGCCCAGCCATTCGTGCCCACAGCCTCAGACCCTTCTTATTTTCGCAATCCTGGCATCGCCTGTAGGCTTCGACCCCTCCCAATTATTTGAATAATTCTGTATTGGCTTAAGCCCCACCGACGTCTGGGCTCCTCGCCTTGCCTCAGAAGTTTCTTCCCGCCCTCTGTCCCACTCCCTCTACAAATCTAGGCCCGGACCCTACTTCTGAGCATTAGAATCTGTCTTCCACCTCCTCCATGCCAACCCTAGCTCCGCCCCACGCTCTCCTAGGCTCCTTCACCATTTCCTCCCGGGCCCCTCCCCCTACCGTAGGCTCCTCCCCACTTCTCGAGGCTGCGCCCCTTTTCGTCTAGACCCCGCCCTCCTGAGAGCTTTCCACCTGACCCCGGCCAGTCGCCTGCCCTCCTAGCCCCGCCCCCTAGTAA